CATTCCCACCCCCCCCCTGCCCCGGCTAAGCTAGTGGCAGCAGGGCAGAGCCCACACTCCCAGCGCTGCCGCGCCCGCATCCCATACCTCCCACCCCTCTCCCCGAGTAACACTACACTGCCCCTCCCCCCACTGGACAGCTTGCCCCAGCCCCAATCCCTCCCTCTCCCATGCCCTTTCCCTTCTCCAACCAATTTACCAGCTGGAAGCAGCTGTCAGCTGCCTGTTTAGTCTATGGCCAAATCTCCAAATTGGCTGAATCTTTTCCGAAGCTCTTCCAAATTGATTTAGATGCTCTGAATCGATTCAAAGCTTTTACTTGGTCTCCCGATTCGATTCAGATTTGAAGATTTGGTCCCCAAATGGGGCCGAATCTTCTCCAAATCGAATCAACTACTAAAGTTCGCACAGCCCTTCTGAATACCTGCCTTTAGTTCTTTACACATTTCTCTGCAACAAATAATGTCACAGTAACATAGCGAATGCTCAGTCACAAAAAACTTCAAGTGATTTTACCTCTGGGTTAATAGTGAATGTTTTAGGTGATTTTCCAACACTGAGAAGATCAAATATTATTTCTTTCATTGCAAAATCCAAACGTTCCTATGAAGAAAAACATGACATTAGATTCTCTTTGTATTCACATGGATAACTTCGGCACCCACACAAGAAGCCTAATGTCTTGCTAGCCTATAAATAGCTAAAAAAAAGTTTTTAAAAATATTCCTCTTGGTTTATAATCCCTCAAAAGTCAGGAATGGTAGTTAGTAACTCAGTGAACTGCAGGAAGTAAAGGGATTGTCTCATCATTCATGTATCTGAATACTGTGCTGGAGGATTAAATTCGATCCCTGGCTCTGTCACAGAGCTCCTACACGATGATAAACTTTTTTATTTTTAAAAGAGATGGTCCCAAAGGAAAGGAAGAATGATCCAATGGCTAAGAGGGTAATTTTGTTAAGAGATGAGGGGTTTGTCCCACCTAATCTCTCAATGAGAGTGTTGTAGGAGGTCCATTACATGAAAGATCAGGAAGCAGCCAGATACTATAGTGATAGGTACCATGTTACTACCCAGAATTGACAGCCTGTATATTTCATACTTTAATAATGCCTATTGGTGTTCCAGTCTAAAAAATTATATATATTACTGCTCAAATACCATGGTAATGGTACGTTATAAATGCACGTAGCAGCATCTCACCACATAACATAGGAAGGCACATCAGGAGTCATTCAGTCTAAACCAAATCATGTTCAGACTTAACTGTAATTTAGGTCACTGGAAAATGGTTTTCAGCTTTCGTAACTGCCATTGGTCATAAATAGTCGATCGTTAATTGTCATTACTTTTAGGTTTATGTATCAATTTTATTCCTGATGTACCTCTGCTAATTTCAGTGCAATTGCTCCAAGGATAAATTTGGTCTTTTAAGATTCTTTCAGGGGGATCTTACCTGAGCAATGAACTGAATAATCTTCACAAATATATTTAGAGGCGTGTCTCGAGGGACCACACTACGTGAGCCTTTTGGAAAAAGTGCTGATACAATGCTCATGAGACGGCTATAGGGATTTAGAAACAAACATTACTAACAAATCCAATTTCTGAGAAAAAGATATTTTTTTCTTTAATAAAGATGGGTATTTTATAATTAAATTGGAGTTTTTGTTCCACAATACTATATAGTCAAACAGGATTAAAAATGACCCCCAAAGTCATCAAACCCAGATCCCCTGCAGTTTCAAGCAACCATATCATACAGTCTCTTTTATAAAAGTTATCAGCTTCTCCTTGGAAACTCAGTTTTTGTGCCTCCTTCATTTCTATTGGAAAGCACCCCCCCAATGGTTTTGTATCATATGCCCTCCTAGATTTTATTTTTGTATGCTCAATAAAGCAAGTTCTGTTGGTCTCCACTATTAAGAAAGGCTCTCTATTGAACTGACCATTCTACTAGCCACTGTCCAGACCCGTGTCAATTTAAATTACTCTTTATATAATTAAAAATTTTTTAAAAATAAATTATAAATTGAAACATACTTTTGTGTATAGTGTACGTACCTTTGCGTTACAGTGTTACTTTCACATTTTATTCTAATAACATAAACCCACAATAATCTGTAGAGAGATTCCAGTGCAACTCGAGACATTTTTGGATCTTTATTCTGCAAAACAAATTTAAAATGCAGTTAGTATCCACCATTGAAATACTCACCCAAAAGCCTTTTTTTAAAAACTTTATTCACTCGAGAAAATTCTAGTATTTTGAAGTTAATTTTAAATTGTTTTAAAAAAGAAGTCTGATGTATTAAATATTTGAAATATCAACTTAATTAAAATATATTTCCATTACTGTATGCATGTAAACACAAACTTCAGATTATTTTGCATGATTCTGTCAGTTTGAGAGCAAAGGAGTAAGCTGATCCTTCCTTTGAGATGAACTTCAGGAATTTACTGCCTCAATTTCTTCTTCTTATGCCTACAATGCTGTTGAAAATGAGTATAGCTCTCCGTATGCTCACTAAGCACAGTTCAAATGCAGGGCTGATGTCCAAACCTGCTCCTGCAGTTTGACTTTAATGCTGACTTAACATGACTGAAGTTTGTTCTGTCCTTTTTCTCTTGACCCTGACTCTCAGGATTTCTGCCTGCAAAGATCTCCTGTCCCTATTACTAGTTTTCTCATTCTACTCAAGGGAACTCATACCCTTTGAACCTTGGCTTGAAGCTAAAGAATTCTATCTTGCCTGGATTCCATTCTAAGACTACATGAGTCACAAGGAAAGGTCTCTCTCCCGACAGAGACCCAGGCCCTGAAGTTCTTTCAGAGAATGTTCATGGAACTGAACAAACAAATAATAGATATGGCTTCCCATAAGAACCATGGAAAGAAGATGTAGATTAAAAAAGGTTGGAACATAACAATTACAAGCAATAAGATCACGTAGCATTCTGTTTAACTCGCATAGTGGAGAGACTGTAATTTTGAATGTTTGCTTGAAGGGAAATACAGGATATCTAGGCTTCATTGAAAAAGTGTTTTAAAGGAGGAACTTGAATTAAGCTCAGTGTATATAACAGATTACAGTTTTCACTTTTACCAACATTTACTTCAAGAGACAGTAGATCCTCATGTTCACTGAAACAAGTCTGTCTATTCATTGTTATACATTCAATCAAAGTCTTTAACAAAAATACACTATCTTGAATTTTCCTCATCAATGGCAATAAAGTTCTTGAGTATAATATTTAAAGAAACTATCATTTTAAAAGGAGGGTGAAGTTAGAAGTTGAGAAAAACTTATTAGTGGCTTCTAATGAGCGAGTTAGGAGAAAGGAAGCAGAGATTCAAATAGCTGATGAACAATGTTCCAAATCTCTCTATTATTGATATCTGAGGAGATTTAACTTGTAGCTATTTCCAACCAGTTAAGATCAAGATTTCCTTTTCTGTAGGAACAGCAGACAAGCTGTGCATCTGCTAACATTGTATCTGTAGAATTAATAAGCATTCATAATTAAAAGGGTAGCATGTTTATAAAGGCAGCACTGAAAAATTTAAGTCAATCTCAATCATTTTCTTTTATTGCTAAGCCTTTTCACACTTTCATCACTTTCCTATAAGCAGATGGCAAACCAACACATATGCTTGAAGGAAATAGGTTTTAATTCTAATTGCAATAAATTATGGCAATTATAGCAAAACGTCAATAATCTTACACAATAGAATTACAGTTTCTTCTCCTTAAATCTGGACTTAAAACCCTGACACATTCCAGTTTTATCTAATACATGTTAGGGTCTTACTTGAAATACTTTGTTCAGTTATTTTGTTGCAAAGATAACTCTGTGTTATTCCCTAATAATCTTCTTGGGTTAATATACCAGCAGGGTATGGCATGAATTGTCAAGAAATCTTACCAAAGTATTACCAAATAAAAAAACAAAACAAAACGAGAGAGTGAATGTACACTGGTCTTATGTGACACATTAAAATGATTCAATGGTACAAATATCTCAGTGAAGGCAAGAAACAAAACCAGCATTTTTTCCACGTTAGTCAAATGTAGTCACTTACTGAAAAAAGTACTTTTTAATACTGAAGTTAAACTTTTCTTCTGTTCTGAACTAAAACAATTTCTACTTTTTAAAACCTGCAAAACCAACAGTGTTAAAGTCTTTCAAGTTAGTTCACTGCAAATTATCATATTAAATTAGTTCCACATTTTTATTATGAAATAGGCTTCCAAGTCTGCTCACATGCAAAACATTTTTATTTGTAATACATGAAACAGAAATAACCAAATGTCTAATGTAGGTATTTTATTCCCTACTATAAACATGCACTTATCAACAAACTGTGTTGCAAAATTGTTGCTCAGTCTCACAAATCTATCTTCTCTCAGATAAATTGGTACTAGACCATTTGTCAAACTTTCTCCCTTTGTCCTTCAGGGAAAAAAGCTCTGACCAGATTACTTATGTTTTGAGCTGTTGCTTCTTGATAGTGCTGAAGGCAGCTGTACAGAACCAAACAAAACACAGAATGCAACAAAGAACACAAAAACAAAATAGTGCAATTACAGGAGACAAAGCAACTTTTCACTGAGTTATTACAACATCTTAACTCACCTGCAGCGTTTCTATTTGCTTTCTGATACTGTTGTTAGATGGCATCTAAATAAAGCAATGTGAAACAGCAAAAAACATAACAAACATGAGAATGGGAGGCACATGCATGTTAGATGAAAAAAAGCACAAAACAACATATAGCTGTATTCTAGGGACTCTATTCAGTAGAAATACAGTTTGCTGACAACAGCAGTGAATGCTCCTTCAAATACCATGGCTTGTCTGCAGTGGACATTTTTTTTTTGCCTTATGGAATTCATATTAAAGTGTTCTCTGTCATCATTTTCTTCTACATGACATTCTTTTTCCCATTTAGGAACCTAGAAATCTTCCTCCCCCTAATGGTCAGCAGAGGTAACAGACTCCCCTACCCCCATATTTAAGGAACCTGCTTATCTTGTGATGAGTTTACTAAAAAGTGGCCAGAGCATATCACTATATTTTAACTACTTTTTATCACCATGGTGGCAGACTACTGCATTGATTCAGGGAAGTACTTGAGTGAAGAAAAAAAAAAAAAAAAAAAAATCACACTGATGTATATATTTCTGTATTCTTAATTTCCACAGACTTTCTGCACAGACAGAATTGAAAGTTATTGCTATTGCCCTAGGCCCTAAATGTCCTGGGATCTAGCTTCTAGGTACAGAATATACCTAAGAGACCACTAGTTTCTCTGCGCTATACTGTCCCAGGTTCAATCACTGGACATTCTTAAACTGGAGCAGTAGAAGAAAGAGGGGTTGCTGGTAGGGTGCTTTCCATGACAACACCACAGTACTGGAACACCCATGTTAGGTGTGACATAGCCCAAAAGTTCTGACCTTTAAGGCACACTGCAAAGCCCATGTTTTTCCCTAGCTTATGAGAAGCAAGCTTGTGAGAATAAATCAGTGGTTTGAAAATATTATGGTTTCGGTCTAGTTTACCCTGCCCCCGCTGGTGCTCAGACGTAACCTGCTAAAACTCTAATGTTGATCATTATAATTTAAAAGATGTGACGTACACCTAGATCAAATGGATAAGCAATCTTTATTAGTGTGCATATATCTTGGTAAATTTACGCAAATAAATAATATAAATGTTATCATCAGGAGATCAGATAAAAATAAGGGAGTGAGAGATTGAGAGAGGAATTTACTGGGCAATTCACAGCTTCAAAAAGTAATGGGATTACATATTATACACTGCATGCATTTTAATTAGCTCCAAAAGGCAGAGGCACAAATTTAGCCATAGTGAAACAGAAATATAGCTGGGTTGTAGTTTTAATGATTCACTCCAGTGAACTCCCAGTCCAAAGCTAGATACACCAAAAAAGAGTAGTGCAGCTTGAATGATTCCACAGTCTACTACATATCCTGCTAAATCAATGCACAGTAGCCAAAACCACAACATTCTGCAGAAGCTCATATATAAAATTTCTGCTGAATAGAGCCCAAAGTTAAATGTGTTAAGCTGTTAGTATTTAACAAAACTATCCAAAATATTAAGTGCATGCTGTGCAATTACTAATTAAACTCCTTGGCACTGACAGTTTGAATGAGTCCATTGTCAGCAATGGACATTAAGCCAGGAAAATCTAGTTCTCAGCATGTAAAGAATTTTTTAAAAAGCTGATTTCATTTAATGAGCAAAATTAATAAAACAAAAGTCGAAGCAGACATTGCAAGATAATTGTAAATATGTTAGATGAAAAATATACAAAAAACCAACAAGCAACAGAAAAGTATGAAAGATGTCATGAAAACAAATGACCCTTCACAGAGTAAAATCTGCATTTCATTTTGGCACCTTTCATCATGGATTTACAAATTTTTAAATAAACAGCATGTAGACACCATTTGGAAACTGTTAAACGCAGAGAACCATTAAAAATGCTGAAGTGGATCAAACAATTGTATTAAAAATATCTAAATCAAGATATTAAGTGGAAACATGAACTTTAGTCAAAATTGATAAAACACTGTATAATATTAAATAATTTAATTAACAAGAGGACACACATTTTCCAAGTATCAGTGATTTGTATATTAGATCAATAAAGTAGTGTTTAGAATTCTATCAAGTACTGGGAGGGAGTTAAAGGAACACTAAGTTTAATACTGGAAACATGCATAACTGTGACAGCATATATGTAAAGGTTAACTGCCCTCTACAACAGGGGCTGGCAACTTTTTCAAGCTGCAGGCCAGAACAACTCTGCTCCAGTCTGGTGCGGGTCAGATAGCCATGGCAGCATATCAGCTTTTTCTGCACATTCGCCTAAAGCAGAGCTTTCCAAACTGTGTGCCGCGACACATTAGTGTGTCGGCGGCCGTGTGTAGGTGTGTCGCGCGAAATGCAGAAAATTTTGCGGAAGGGCACCGCGGAGCTCCCTTACTCGCGTCTGCTTCCCTTGGCCCCTCCCCCGGAACTGAATTACTGTGTCACAAAATGATGCATGTCTAAAAAGTGTGTCACCAACATGAAAAGTTTGGAAAGCTCTGGCCTAAAACATGCACTGGGAGCTGCACCCACATTGCCACTGCTTCTCTTAGCTCCCCATTTCCTGATGTGAGCACAGCTTCCAAGTGGAATGGAGTTGGGCTGGGCTAGGGAGCTGGAAGCTGCTTCCATGTTGCTCTGTTGGTTCTAGAATAGCATTTACTACAGGTACTACTGACAGAGCTGTGCAAACAAACCAATGAAGCTAATGTAAAGACAACAGAAAGGAGTTAGTTGTTACACTTCTTTTACCGTGCCATGCCAACATCGGTACCACATAAAACCCCACAGAAAACGTCAATGTTGCAATTACTTCGCAGTGTCCTTTAAACAGGTAACAACTTTATTTGGTATTAAAATACTGCAGTTGTGAGAAACTGCTATTGATTTGTTACAGTTCCTGAACTGAGAATGATTCTTACCTTTAAATGTGACAAACAGTTCTGCAGGAAAATGTGCCAGTTATTTAAAAAAAATTGTTTCTGACTCACACACAACAGGCAGGTGATCAATGGATACAAAGCCTGAGTAGGGGGGAAAAAAGAATTGATCAAATTGCTCTTTGAGAAATACATGCAGGGACAAAGCAATCATCTTAGTGAAACCTGAGGAAGGTTTGGATTATCAAGAATATTGCCTTGTTTTCTGGTCTGCTTTCAGCATAAAATAAATTTAATTTAATACAGTTTGTAAGTACTGGAACAACACGGCTTTGTTTGCTGGTGAACCATAAGATCTGTTAACATGTAAAAAGTTATTGAGCAGAATATATACTAGTTCTTATTATAAAAGCTAATCTCAATTACAGCCATTTTGATATAACACGAGATTTAAGGGAGAGCAATACAGTGTAGTTAATTAATAAGAATAATGCAAGGGCTTCTGAATTAAAAAAAATGCTAAATACCTTCTCAATGCTTACTTTGATAGTGATCCTACATCACTCTGGCTGTAAGTAAGAATGACAGCAGTTCCTTTATTCTTGGAATCCTAATATAGGAATTCACTCTACTAAAAGTTCCCATACATGAAAATGAAGAAGAAACAGCCCTGGGCTGGGCTGTGCTGTCTGCTCCACAGAGAACGACTGGGAGAAACCCAGCTGGGGACCACAGCTGGGTCTGCTGGAGGAATTTGGGTGGGGGAGAAGCCCCTACCAGACTTTGCCCCACTGGAGTGGAGGGGGTGGCAATGAACAACCTGAGAAGGACTATCCCCCACCACCCCAGGCAAACCCCAACTGGGGTCTGGGAGGGGCTTTAATTCCCCCCCACCCAGCTCAGTGCTGGCCACAACCCTTGCTCTCTGCTTGAGTAGGACACGGGGTACAGGTAGGCAACAGCCTGAGGGGGACTACCTGACCCCCCCAGGCAAACCCTGGCTGGGGTCCGAAGTCTGAGGGGCTGTAATCCCCCATCCCCAGGCTCAGTGTGCTGGTGTGACCAAAGAAAACAGAGAACTACATTTACAGTATAAAACAGCAGGAGACCAGCAGACTCCACCCTCACCCAACTCTGGCAGAGACTGAGGCAGGCAAGCAGTTGATAAGGGAGGGGGTGTAATTCCCTTCAGCTCCCTCAGGCCATGGGGGAGGGGGGAAGAGGCTGGAGGGACTGGTCCCCTGCCACCTGTGAGCACTGGGATCTCTACTACAACACCTAAGACCACATGCTGATACCCAAGAAGGACTTTCTGAATACCTGCCTGTAAGGAGACTTATGCAAGGTTCTCTCTTGTTTTCTTTGTTTACATTTTAACTCAGACTAAGCTGTGTGTGCTCTCACTGTGTTTACTGGGCTGTATCTTAGCTTAGGCAAAGATTTTTGGTTGTTTTTTGTTGTGTGCTTGAGTTTGCAAATTACTGTGCTCAATACATGTTTGCGTCAGAAAAAGGACTATTCTTGTTCAAGCTTTTATGAATTTGGTGCCACTACCTTTTTCTGCACCCACCCCCTCCTCAGCCTGGCAACCTCAAGCAGGGATTGGAGGGGAAGAGGCAGAAGCCTGGCGGGCACTGTCCCCCCACCCAGGAAGACCCCACGGGTTTGAGTCCCGTGTGGGCCAGGGTGAGGAGTTAAAATCCCAACCCCCAGTGTGCTAGCCCAAGGCTGGAGCCTGGCCACACTCCTTCCACTGGAGCAGAGAGTGGGAAAAAGCCTTGAAGCTTGTCCTTTCCCTTTGGCACTGGCTTGTAGGCTGGGAGGTGTGCTATAGCCCTCTTCCCCACCCCCCGGGTTATGGCCTGAGCCACTGCAGGCATGTGGCTGCAATTCCTGAATCAAAAGCGAATGTCTGTTCACTTGCTTCTCAGTTTAATCTCTGCAGTTTAAATTAACCTGCAAAGACTGATTCAATTCAATCTGGGGCTTTTTGACTGTCTGTACTTAGCCCTAAACTATAAGACTGAGATTAAAGATGGGGCAGGTTTAACATAAACTATGTGACACTAATTCTTGTGCCTCATAAGAGGGCAGACTTAAATTTA